AAGAATGCATTGAGGATGACATCTGACAATTTTGCCACCTGTTCAAAAACTATGGCTCCTATCAAAAAATGACCAGACCGTGAGCATCAGGGAACCCCAATGAACTGATAAATGTTTTTTTCTTTGGTTTTGTGTGTAAAATGTTGAGATGGGAGCAGTTTGTCTAAAGTGTACTTCTCTCTGTTCTGAAGAAAGTTCCGGAAAGATTTAACCTGGGAATCAATTGGGAGCTAGGTGGACTTTTTGTCTCTTCATGCCCTCAAGAGGCATTTTGTTTAATATTTTTTCTTCATATTTTTTTATTTTCCAACCTAGGAGAGGTTTTCCTACGTTTTTCATGAAAAAATATGTCTGAGGAGTGTAGGGTTTGGGAATTATGGCAAGTTTAAAACATTTTTGGGGGAGCACTGCTGCACTCTGTTTTGAGATCAAAGCACTCTAGACTTAACGAGCTGCTCCATCCACACTAATGTTAAAATCTGAAAAAGGCCTCTCTACCAAGCTCCAAACTAAGTTAAATATCTCAAAAAGTGTAAAAGATATCAAAAATAAAAATCAATTTTGAATAGCTGAAGGTCTTGTGATCATTTGAAAGTTGGAATGAAGTGTCTAGCTGAAAGTATGTGAAAGGAGTAGCATTTGGCGCAAAGTGTAGGAAAAGAGGATTTGAAGGCATCTCCCATTGACTTCCATGTTAAAAAAAGAGTTTAAAAAGCTGAATATTTTAAGAAGTATAACATATTTTTAAAAATGTGAAGGTTTCCCATCGATTCCTGAACAGGCTGAATAGTTTGATATTTGAATGGTTCCTGCAGCTGAAATTAGGCTGAAGGAGTTAAATAAAGATATTAAATGTAAATAGTAGTGAATGAATGTTTACAAACACCTGTGTGTGTAAACCCAGAGATGAAATGTTACCATGGTGACGATTTATGACGATTTTCCAACTGCAGCACTGAGTCCCATTAAGAATGCATTAAGGATTATATCTGACAATTTTGCCACCTGTTCAAAAACTATGGCTCCTATCAAAAAATTACCAGACCGTGAGCATCAGGGAACCCCAATGAACTGATATATGTTGGATTTTTGGTTTTGTGTGTAAAATGTGGAGATAGGAGCAGTTTGTCTAAAGTGTACTTCTCTCTGTTCTGAAGAAAGTTCCGGAAAGATTTAACATGGGAATCAATTGGGAGCTAGCTGGACTTTTTGTCACTTCATGCCCTCAAGAGGCATTTTGTTTAATATTTTTTCTTAATCTTTTTTTATTTTCCAACCTAGGAGAGGTTTTCCTACGTTTTTCATGAAATATTATGTCTGAGGAGTGTAGGGTTTGGAAATTATGGCAGGTTTAAAACATTTTTTTTGGGAGCATTTCAAGCACTCTCCACTCTGTTTTGAGATCAAAGCACTCTAGACTTAACGAGCTGCTCCATCCACACTAATGTTAAAATCTGAAGAAAGCCTCTTTACCAAGCTCCAAACTAAGTTAAATATCTCAAGAAGTGTAAAAGATATCAAGAATAAAAATCAATTTTGAATAGCTGAAGGTGTTGTGATCATTTGAAAGTTGGAATGAAGTGTCTAGCTGAAAGTATGTGGAAGGAGTAGCATTTGGCGCAAAGTGTAGGAAAAGAGGATTTGAAGGCATCTCCCATTGACTTCAATGTTAAAAAAAAGTGTTTAAAAAGCTGAATATTTCAAAAAGTATAAAATATTTTTAAACATGTGAAGGTTTCCCATCGATTCCTGAACAGGCTGAATAGTTTAATATTTGAATGGTTTCTGTAGCTGAAAATAAGCTGAAGTTATGGAGAGCCAAAGTATTGGCTGAAATAATAATAAGCGGAAAGAATAAAGATTTGAAGTACTATAGTGGAATGCTGTGGCACAGCATTCGCACTAATAAGTACCCTGTATCAAGATTGATGCAAAACAAGTGGCATTTGACCTTTTTAGAGAGGTTTAGGAGAAAAAAAACCTGTATGGGGTCACTTGGGTGGATTTTGATGTATTTGCCGTTTCTCTGGAACCCATTGGTCGATTTTGGTGATTGACATCTTTTTTGAACCGTTAGAGCCAATAGAATCGAAGGGGAAGTTCCACATACACACACACGTTACCATTGAGAAGTGAGAGCTATGCGCACGCAGTCGAAAGCTATGTTAGGCTCTGAAAACTGAAACCTAGGCTCAAACTAGTATGAAGATGGATTATCAGAAATCATTTCAAAGTGACACAGACACATTGGATTAACCTTCAGCAGCGTGTTTATCGTTTTGATGCCATTGAACACAACTTTTGATCAGAAACAGCAAAAGGTCAGACAATTTGGCCGTGTTTCCTCCCTAAAGCTACGTTGTGTGATGTCTGTGTTCGCTTCCCCTGTCGCGAGTTTTGATCGCTCAGTGATGATACTTATATTTCTGTGGAATCTCAGCTTGCTAATCGATATCTTGTTTGTGCAGATCCGATAAGTAATAAGGGTATTTTATCGTGAGTTCTGTGTATTTAAAGTGTTAGAATCTTTTCGCTCAGGGCTCATTTAGACGCTTCTTGTGAGACTTGTGTTTTGTTTCGGTACAAATGGTTCGTATCGTCAGATAGCTGAGTTTCTTCCCGTTAGGTGGGTATGAAACATTAATAGGTTTTTCCCTGAGTCACAGTTTCGTGAAAAAAAAAAGAAAAATCCCCATTGCCCCCGCCTAACAGGTTAACAACACTGAACATTCAGAGAGCATATTGTGCTTAACCTCTACCTGGTTTAGGGGTGCAACACCTAATCGACTTAATCCATTAAAATCGATGACCAAATTAGTTGCCAACTAATTCAGTCGTCGATTCGTTGGTGACGTCATCACGTGTGTTTTACGCGCCGTTAAGCTCCAACGTTATCGGTCTTTTTATCGGTACTGCCTGGAGACATTTAAATCATATATGTCATATGTATTATTGCTACATAAACATTATACCGCAGTCTTAGTGTCGCCAACTCGTTTCTAACATGCAAAAACACAAAAAAATGTGTCTATGATGTATTTTCGATCTTTCCAATCCAGACGAGATGTCTCTCTCCGTCTGTGTGCGAGGGGGCGGTTTACACACTCTGCTACATGATGCATGCAACACACTGCTACATGATGCATGCAACACACTGCTACATGATGCATGCAACACACTGCTACATGATGCATGCAACACACTGCTACATGATGCATGCACACACTGCTACATGATGCATGCAACACACTGCTACATGATGCATGCAACACACTGCGGGGATGGCGGAGAGAACGCGCTCCGAGGTGTGGTTAAATGTTACCGTCTCGATGTGGACAATGCTCGTTACCTAAAGTGTAATAAGAGTTCAGCATGTCAGGGCAGTAACACGAGCAATCTGTCTAAACATTTAGCAAAAGTGCTCCACGTTCAGACGGAGGAATGCACCGGGTTCGACTGTCTCTCCAGCAGCTCTGTAGCCCCGTCCACGAGTAACGTTTCCACGTTAGCAACACACAGAGTTAACAAAATTATACAAACATGGGTTAATGATTAGAGGTAACTGAGTTATTGATTTTGTTAAAGTTTCAGCTATTCTGTTCACAGTTCTGTCATCACATTATTTAATACCATTTGTTAAAACATTGTTGTTTCTTTTGATGTGAAATATTATTTATTTAATTTAAATAAAAAGCAATGTTAATTTTGTTCACAATTTGTTAATTTTGTTCACAATTTGTTTAGTTAATTTAATAATATTTGTATTTTTGAATCAAGTATTCATCTTTATTGTCTTCATTGTTAGTTTCCACATGCCTAAAACAACCTCAAGCTAAATCTAAAAGTTGAAATAAGAGCGTTTCAGACATTATTTGTGGTTCAATGATTGGAAATGTATTTGCATTTAAAGGTTTTGTCCCCACAAAGAAACCCCTGATCAGTGCAACAGCTGCAACATGCTAATTGTGCGTACAACACAACAACAACAACAACCGCAGCCCTCTATCTCCAGTTCTTCAGAATCAGAATCAGGTTTATCTCCAGGTAGGTTGACACGTACGAGGAATTTGACTTGATGTCGTGGTGCATACATCAAAGTAAAAACTGTTTTTAAAACACAGATAGAGAACTATTTTACGAAAACTATAATAACATAAAAAAATATAGTAGTATTTACATTGAAATGGATTTGGAATAAAATGTAAAATATTCAGTGTGCATCTGCAGCTTCACATGTTCTGCTGCTACGCTTGGCGCTGTCCCCCAGCATGCATTTCAGCGGTGCGACAGTGAAAGGAGTTTTATTTTGTGTTGCCATAAGTTAGTCTCTCTGCGTTTGTGCGCTGGGCTAATGCTCATGCTAATAATGCTAATGCGAGCAAATAAAATGGCGGCTTCACAAAACTTTTTGGAAGTTTTACGGGGCGTGGTTTGCAATCCGCCCAGCCAATCAGAAATGGGAACCTTTTTCTCCCACGAAAGTACCTGCTCTCTAGCAGGGACTGAAAAGGGGGTGGAAAGGTTCCCATGAACTAAGTTCTAGTTCCGGATGTTTTTGGTGTGAACGCGACATTTCGGAACAATACTGGGAAAAGTACTCCGGTGTGAAAGCGCCTAAGGATATCATTCGGTATGAAGTTCGGTATGAAGTTCGGTATAAAGTTCGGTATAAAGTTCGGTATGAAGCGGTATGCCCCCAGCACTATGTGTAAAGTATCCTGTGTTTATTTATATATTTTTTATTGAAATAGTAGGTTGGTAGTAAGTTATTCTCTATATTTTATTCTGTGCGTTCCTTACATACTCTGCTGTTCATATGTATATATTTAGTGTCTATTTGTCCTTTTCTTTGGTATTTTATTTTGTATTTTATTATAGTTTTGACTCATCTGCAATGCCTTGTAAACTCGCTGCTGGAACAACACAATTGTCATATTAGGGATCAAAACAAATACATCTAATTTTTGTATTTGAATGACATTTTAACTTGTGCATCGCTTCTCAACATCTAATCATCCTATGTTTATATTTGTTAAGTAGTAAGTTGGTCTATTATATTCCAATTTATTCTGTATGCTATAGATCAGTGACCATCAACTGGTGGCCCGCGGGCCACATCCGGCCCGCCAGACATTCTCATCCGGCCCGCACGGCGGGGGTGACTGTGGCGTTGGCGGAGTGGTTAGTGCGTTCGCCCCCCACTGAAAATCGCTGGCCCCCGAAAGACTCACCCAGGGTTGCAGGTGACTTCCAGTTTGTCTCCAAACTGAATCCCCTCAGAATAATCCACTTGTCCATTTGGCACGTCTCCAATAGCGCCACAGGACTTCCCTTAAAAAACAACAACAGAAAAACCCCTTAGGATTAAATTCATCCCTTAAACATTTCTGGATATCTGTGTTTCAGAGTGTAGGAATACTCTTACAGTAAAAGTCCTGCATTCAGAATGTTACTCAAGTAAAAGTAGAAGTACTCAGGTCTTGTTCTTGAGTGAAAGTAGAAGTACTCAGATCTTGTACTTGAGTAAAAGTAGAAGTACTCAGATCTTGTACTTGAGTGAAAGTAGAAGTACTCAGATCTTGTACTTGAGTAAAAGTAGAAGTACTCAGATCTTGTACTTGAGTGAAAGTAGAAGTACTGAGATCTTGTACTTCAGAAAAAGTAGAAGTACCAGAGTGTAGGAATACTCTGTTACTGTAAAAGTCCTGCATTCAAAATGTTTCTCAAGTCAAAGTATAAAAGTATTCTCATCAAAATATAGTGAAAGTAGCGACAGTAAAAGTAGTCGTTGTGCAGATTGGTCCATTTCAGAATAATATATATGATATGTTTTATAATGATTGATCATGAAAGTGTTCTCAAAGCTGGTAAAGGTGCAGCTAGTTTGAATGACTTTGTATACTGCAGGGTAGCTTGTGGATTTACTCCAGGTGGAACTAAAGTCTGATTTAACACTTGATTATATTTCACATCATTCATCCACATCTGTGAAGTAACTAAAGGTATTAAATACATGTCGTGGAGGAAAAGTACACCATGTACCTCTGAACTGTAGTGCAGTAAAAGTACACATTAACATAACATTTAAATACTCAGATAAAGTACAAGTACCTCAAAATGGTACTTGAGTAAATGTACTTAGTTACTTTACACCTCTGTATATCGCTAACTGGTACTGGATATGTATTTTGTGAATTGTGTAATTTGTAGTTTAATCTCTTAATATTTGTATGCATGCTTCTTAAGAACTACTAAGCTGTCTTTGGCTCTTTCTGCTGTGACAAATGTAAATGTCCTCCTCTGTGGGACGAGTAAAGGTATTGTACCGCTACGTGTAAATAAAAATACTAATACTCACTTTCACATGTCATCCTCAAAGGGCTCCAGGCTCCAGCAGTACAGGTGATGGATGCAGATCCTCCAACAGACTCGTAGCCAACATTACAAGCAAACGTAACTTTTATCCCGTCGGGGAAAGTTTGTAAAAGTATGTCGTCCCCCTTCAGATCCATGTTGGCTTCTCCCACAGGTCTGGAGCAGTCCTGAGCTGGGGAGGGAACGTCCAGAAGTTGATGTGTAATGTAGAATCAAAACAGGACTAATGTCATATCTGCAGCGAGATTATAACCACTGACCTTGAGCTGAAAGGAAAAGGCCAACAGAGGTCAGGAGCAGGAGGAAGGAGGCCGTAAGAAGTAGAAAGTACAGGTATTTGTGTTCAACATGTAAGAAGTAGAAAGTACAGGTATTTGTGTTCAACATGTAAGAAGTAGAAAGTACAGGTATTTGGGTTCAACATGTAAGAAGTAGAAAGTTCAGGTATTTGTGTTCAACATGTAAGAAGTAGACAGTACAGGTATTTGGGTTCAACATGTAAGAAGTAGAAAGTACAGGTATTTGTGTTCAAAATGTAAGAAGTCAAAGTAAAAAGTCGTCAGAAAAATAAGTAGTGGAGTAAAGTACTGATACCAGAAAAATGTACTTAAGTACAGTAACAAAGCATTTGTACTTCCCCCTCTGGTAGTTTATTAGACATGTATGAACACACAGACTCACCTTCACACACAGGCAGCCGGTCCATCCAGCCCTGGCTGCCACACAGGATGGTGATGATGGAATCTGGTTTTCCAACCAAATCATAACTAATAAGAGAAATAAGAAAAAAAACGTATTTGTTTTTGAGCAGATGTTTTTCCATTTAACCTGTTAAGAACAAATGACTATATCTTAACTTCTAAAAGGGTTAAATTAATAATCTTTTTTCTCAAAGCAATGATAAACCTGTGAGTTGGATGTAGAAAGGTCAGAATCAATATAGATTTTTTATATTTTAAAGTAAATTCAGATTGAACATAGCAAAAAACTGTAAATGATAGTGTCCGTCCAAAAAAAACATTACTTATAGTGAAACCAGCCTTGAATGATGGGTTAGTAGACTAAAAGCTTTAGGAATCCAAACTATAACATATAATAAGTACCCTGTATCAAGATTGATGCAAAACAAGTGGCATTTGACCTTTTTAGAGAGGTTTAGGAGAAAAAAAACCGTATGGGGTCATTTGGGTGGATTTTGGTGTATTTGCCGTTTCTCTGGAACCCATTGGTCGATTTTGGTGATTGACATCTTTTTTGAACCGTTAGAGCCAATAGAATCGAAGGGGAAGTTCCACATACACACACACGTTACCATTGAGAAGTGAGAGCTATGCGCACGCAGTCGAAAGCTATGTTAGGCTCTGAAAACTGAAAACTGAAACCTAGGCTCAAACTAGTATGAAGATGGATTATCAGAAATCATTTCAAAGTGACACAGACACATTGGATTAACCTTCAGCAGCGTGTTTATCGTTTTGATGCCATTGAACACAACTTTTGATCAGAAACAGCAAAAGGTCAGACAATTTGGCCGTGTTTCCTCCCTAAAGCTACGTTGTGTGATGTCTGTGTTCGCTTCCCCTGTCGCGAGTTTTGATCGCTCAGTGATGATACTTATATTTCTGTGGAATCTCAGCTTGCTAATCGATATCTTGTTTGTGCAGATCCGATAAGTAATAAGGGTATTTTATCGTGAGTTCTGTGTATTTAAAGTGTTAGAATCTTTTCGCTCAGGGCTCATTTAGACGCTTCTTGTGAGACTTGTGTTTTGTTTCGGTACAAATGGTTCGTATCGTCAGATAGCTGAGTTTCTTCCCGTTAGGTGGGTATGAAACATTAATAGGTTTTTCCCTGAGTCACAGTTTCGTGAAAAAAAGAAAAATCCCCATAGCCCCCGCCTAACAGGTTAACAACCCTGAACATTCAGAGAGCATATTGTGCTTAACCTCTACCTGGTTTAGGGGTGCAACAACTAATCGACTTAATCCATTCAAATCCATGACCAAATTAGTTGCCAACTAATTCAGTCGTCGATTCGTTGGTGACGTCATCACGTGTGTTTTACGCGCCGTTAAGCTCCAACGTTATCGGTCTTTTTATCGGTACTGCCTGAAGACATTTAAAACATATATGTCATATGTATTATTGCTACATAAACATTATATCGCAGTCTTAGTGTCGCCACCTCGTTTCTAATATGCAAAAAGACAAAAAAATGCGTCTATGATGTATTTTCGATCTTTCCAATCCAGACGAGATGTCTCTCTCCGTCTGTGTGCGAGGGGGCAGTTTACACACACTGCTACATGATGCATGCAACACACTGCTACATGATGCATGCAACACACTGCTACATGATGCATGCAACACACTGCGGCATGATGCATGCAACACACTGCGGCATGATGCATGCAACACACTGCTACATGATGCATGCAACACACTGCTACATGATGCATGCAACACACTGCTACATGATGCTACATGATGCATGCAACACACTGCTACATGATGCATGCAACACACTGCGGGGATGGCGGAGAGAACGCACTCCGAGGTGTGGTTAAATGTTACCGTCTCGATGTGGACAATGCTCGTTAAGTTCTAGTTCCGGATGTTTTTGGTGTGAACGCAACATTTCGGAACAATACTGGGAAAAGTACTCCGGTGTGAAAGCGCCTAAGGATATCATTCGGTATGAAGTTCGGTATAAAGTTCGGTATAAAGTTCGGTATGAAGCGGTATGCCCCCAGCACTATGTGTAAAGTATCCTGTGTTTATTTATATATTTTTTATTGAAATAGTAGGTTGGTAGTAAGTTATTCTCTATATTTTATTCTGTGCGTTCCTTACATACTCTGCTGTTCATATGTATATATTTAGTGTCTATTTGTTCTTTTCTTTGGTATTTTATTTTGTATTTTATTATAGTTTTGACTCATGTGCAATGCCTTGTAAACTCGCTGCTGGAACAACACAATTGTCATATTAGGGATCAAAACAAATACATCTAATTTTTGTATTTGAATGACATTTTAACTTGTGCATCGCTTCTCAACATCTAATCATCCTATGTTTATATTTGTTAAGTAGTAAGTTGGTCTATTATATTCCAATTTATTCTGTATGCTATAGATCAGTGACCATCAACTGGTGGCCCGCGGGCCACATCCGGCCCGCCAGACATTCTCATCCGGCCCGCACGGCGGGGGTGACTGTGGCGTTGGCGGAGTGGTTAGTGCGTTCGCCCCCCACTGAAAATCGCTGGCCCCCGAAAGACTCACCCAGGGTCGCAGGTGACTGTCAATTTGTCGCCGAACTGAATCCCCTCAGAATAATCCACTTGTCCATTTGGCACGTCTCCAATAGCGCCACAGGACTTCCCTTAAAAAACAACAACAGAAAAACCCCTTAGGATTAAATTCATCCCTTAAACATTTCTGGATATCTGTGTTTCAGAGTGTAGGAATACTCTTACAGTAAAAGTCCTGCATTCAGAATGTTACTCAAGTAAAAGTAGAAGTACTCAGGTCTTGTTCTTGAGTAAAAGTAGAAGTACTCAGATCTTGTACTTGAGTAAAAGTAGAAGTACTCAGGTCTTGTTCTTGAGTAAAAGTAGAAGTACTCAGATCTTGTACTTGAGTAAAAGTAGAAGTACTCAGATCTTGTTCTTGAGTGAAAGTAGAAGTACTCAGATCTGGTACTTGAGTAAAAGTAGAAGTACTCAGATCTTGTACTTGAGTAAAAGTAGAAGTACTCAGATCTTGTACTTGAGTAAAAGTAGAAGTACTCAGATCTTGTACTTGAGTAAAAGTAGAAGTACTCAGGTCTTGTTCTTGAGTGAAAGTAGAAGTACTCAGATCTTGTTCTTGAGTAAAAGTAGAAGTACTCAGATCTTGTACTTCAGTAAAAGTAGAAGTACTCAGGTCTTGTACTTGAGTAAAAGTAGAAGTACTCAGATCTTGTTCTTGAGTGAAAGTAGAAGTACTCAGATCTTGTTCTTGAGTAAAAGTAGAAGTACTCAGATCTTGTACTTGAGTAAAAGTAGAAGTACTCAGATCTTGTACTTGAGTAAAAGTAGAAGTACTCAGATCTTGTACTTGAGTAAAAGTAGAAGTACTCAGATCTTGTACTTGAGTAAAAGTAGAAGTACTCAGGTCTTGTACTTGAGTAAAAGTAGAAGTACTCAGATCTTGTTCTTGAGTGAAAGTAGAAGTACTCAGATCTTGTACTTGAGTAAAAGTAGAAGTACTCAGATCTTATACTTGAGTAAAAGTAGAAGTACTCAGATCTGGTACTTGAGTAAAAGTAGAAGTACTCAGATCTTGTACTTGAGTAAAAGTAGAAGTACTCAGATCTTGTACTTGAGTAAAAGTAGAAGGCAAGGCAAGGCAAGGCAAGGCAAGTTTATTTATATAGCACCTTTCAACACAAGGCAATTCAAAGTGCTTTACAAAAATGGAAGACATTATGAAAATGGCATTTAAAATCAGTCATTAAAAAGAAAAGATAATAAAATAAACATTAAAAGAAAAATGACATGGATAAAAGTTAAAAGTTACAGTGCAGTTTAAGATGTGAATAGTTCAATTAAAAGCAGCGGCAAAAAGAAAAGTCTTCAGCCTGGATTTAAAAGTAGTAAGAGTTGCAGCGGACCTGCAGGTTTCTGGGAGTTTGTTCCAGATATTTGGAGCATAATAACTGAATGCTGCTTCTCCATGTTTAGTTCTGACTCTGGGGACAGAAAGCTGACCAGTCCCTGAAGACCTGAGAGATCTGGATGGTTCATCATTTAGCAGTAGGTCAGACATGTATTTTGGGCCTAAACCATTCAAAGCTTTATAAACCAGCAGCAGTATTTTGAAATCTATTCTTTGACACACAGGAAGCCAGTGTAAAGACTTCAGAACAGGACTGATGTGATCCACTTTCTTAGTGTCAGTGAGGAACCAGTGTAAAGACTTCAGAACAGGAGTGATGTGATCCACTCTCTTAGTGTCAGTGAGGAACCAGTGTAAAGACTTCAGAACAGGAGTGATGTGATCCACTTTCTTAGTGTCAGTGAGGACTCGAGCAGCGGCGTTCTGAATTAGCTGCAGCTTTCTAATAGATTTTTTAGTGAGGCCTGTAAAGACACCATTGCAGTAGTCGAGTCTACTGAAGATAAAAGCATGGACAAGTTTTTCCAAATCCTGCTGTGACATTAGGCTTTTAATCCTAGATATGTTCTTTAGGTGATAGTAGGCTGATTTAGTAACTGTTTTAATGTGACTGTTGAAACTCAGGTCAGAGTCCATGACTACACCTAGATTTCTGGCTTTATCTGTTGTTTTGAACATTGCAGACTGAAGCTCAGCGCTAACTTTTATACGTTCTGCCTTGGCTCCAAAAACCATTACCTCAGTTTTATCTTTGTTTAATTGGAGAAAGTTCTGACACATCCAGTCATTGATTTGTTCAATGCACTTACTCATTGTTTGAATTGGAGCATAATCTCCTGGTGAAATTGTTACGTAAATTTGTGTGTCATCCGCATAGCTATGGTAACTTATTTTGTTGTTTTTCATTATCTGAGCCAGTGGTAGCATGTAGATGTTAAAGAGAAGAGGCCCCAAGATGGAGCCTTGAGGTACCCCACATGTCATATTTGTCAACTCAGATGTGTATTTACCTATAGAAACAAAGTTTTTTCTGTCCTTTAAGTAGGACTCAAACCAATTTAGAACTGTTGCCGAAAGTCCCACCCAGTTTTCTAGTCGGTCTAGTAATATGTTGTGGTCAACAGTGTCAAACGCAGCACTGAGATCTAATAATACTAACACTGAAGTTCTGCCACTGTCTGTGTTTAAGTGGATGTCATTGAAGACCTTTACAAGAGCAGTCTCAGTGCTGTGGTTTGGACGAAATCCTGACTGGAACACATCCAAACAGTTATTTAAATGCAAGAAGTTACTCAACTGTTGAAATACTACTTTTTCAATGATTTTACCTAGAAATGGCAGGTTTGATATGGGCCTGTAATTGTTCATTACCGAAGCATCTAGATTATTCTTTTTTAAGAGCGGTTTAATGACTGCAGTTTTCAGGGCCTCTGGAAAAACACCTGAGTGAAGAGATGTGTTTACTATATGAAGTAGATCTGAGGCCATGCAAGGAAAAACATCTTTGAAAAATCCTGTTGGAATAATATCAAGGCAGCAGGAGGAGGATTTCAGAAGTTGAATAATGTCCTCTAAGTTTTTACCATTAATCTGATGGAATTGTGTCATGGTGTTTGAATTGATATTAGGTGGACATAGGGACAACACATTTGCTGTACCTGATGCAGAGGCACTGACTGCTTGTCTAATTTTCTAAATGTTGTCAGTGAAGAAGGCAAAGTCATTGCACGCCCTGGTGGATAGAGATTCAGAGGCTACTGACACTGGGGGGTTATGCCGCGTTTCCACTACACAGCCTCGCTCGGCCCCGCTCGGCCTCCTTTGGCCGCGCCCGGCCTCGTTAGGACCAGCTCACTTTGTGGCGCGTTTCCATTACAGTTTAGGAACCGGGTCAGTATCTATAGTAACAGTGTAGGCGGAGCGACGCTGCTTAAAACTGCCGTGACGTCATCTTCAATGCGACACAACAATGGAGATGTGAAAGCGATCGTTTGCTTGTTTTTTGCTGTGTGGTTTATTATCACAAGAAATAGACAAGAGTTGTTTCGAAAGAGGCGACGTATAGCAAGACGAGGTATAGAAGAAGCTGACGCGAGAGTTCGGGCAGTCCTCCTACGCCGCAGAGACTACAGGACGACTCGAATCACTACTAACTACAATGCTACTTGGTAAGCTAACGTTCGCTAACTAGCAATGTGTTTAGGCTCACTCTCCCTATACGACCAAAGTATTTCAAGTATTTAATTAATTGTAGCTACCACTTTTACGTATTAAAATATGTATGCTTTTGTTTGTGTATTTCAGAAGTTACCGACCGAGCTACCGAGTGGTGGAATGTGATTGTTCCATCTTTCACACACTCAGTGGGTGGAGAACTTCAGGATGCCTGAGGAAAACCTACGTGTAATACCTAAATATTCATTGTATTGTATTGAACATAAATACATCTTTTCTTTTTCACATACATGTGTTTGTCAAATTATTTAAACCAAAAAAATGTTATCAGAATTGACTATTTAGTAAATATTTGAATTTCAAGCACAAGTACTGCCCCCATAATAATAATCTAATAAATTAAGCAAATATCAAAGCAAACTATAAACATAAATACAAAAGTGTAAAACACAACAGAACTATATTCATAAATGCAAGTGTAAAAAATTGTTAACATGGATGGAGGCTAAAGTATCCACAGCATAAAATAATATGATTATGATGGTTTGTCTGAAAGACACAGCCTCAAGGTTCAAGGTTTTTTATTTTGTCATACGAACATAGCTAGTGTAGTTATGACAATGAACATCTTAGGTCACAGGCTCCTCCAACAGTGCAACACAATAACCCAGATCAACAGAAATATAGTGCAAGTAAATATTAAGCGCTGTGCACCGCTCTCTTTGTATAGGTGTTTTCTTTTGTTCTCTTCTCTTTGAAATATATAAGCAATGTGTTTGAGTCTAGCACAACGAGGGTATTACAATTGAGTAATTTTTCTACATGTATTTATCATGTATTCTTAATACCATTATGTAATGTTATGTTTTAGAGGAGGACCTCAAGCTAGCAAACTCAATTTCAAACAGTATGCAGAGTTGTCCTGCTAAAGAGTTAAAATGTATTATTTAACCAAGTATTTATTCTCTTATTTGCTTTAATTGCAACAGATGATAAAGGTTTCACTGTGATAAGTATTCTCTTAAATCCATAAACCCCTGTACAGTGCTTTGTGGACGATGGTGTTTATGATATTTCTGACTGCAGAGGGACGCCTAGATGATGCCATCTTTCTGTGCGATCGCTGGTGGGTGCAATTATTTATCAACAAGCAATAAGATAAGACATGGCATTGATTCTGCTGGGCCAGTTGCCGTTCCTGCAGGGCCAGATCCTCTCCTCCTCGGTTTGTGCTGTTGATGCAGAGGACGTTGTGTCCTCCTCGCTGTTCCTCCTCGCTAGTCCCAATGTAATCATCTAGAACAGAAACATGACTTGTAAATTCCACAAACTACTGCAGCACAATACTATAAATAGCAACAACAACTATAGAAAAGACAAACTGAACGTAAACAATGGCACATATGGTGTTAGCAAACAATAGCTCTCGCTAATGCTATCTGCCTAGCTAGCCTTCGGGGCTCCATCGGGGTTGTCGAACATAAATGTAAGGATAAAATAGACTTATTTGTTAGAAGTGAGCTTTAAAACAGATAGGGACACAAAGCAGGGACACAAAGCAGGGACACAAAGCTTTCAAGCAAATAACACAGCGTTAGCAAAAACGTACCATGCAGACTCCAGTAACGCCGTTGGAGAGTCCAGTGTCTGTGTAGAGACCTCCTGAAAGACTTTGATATTGCGAGTTGTCCCGTCGAGCACCCGCTGGACCTTATCATCTGCAATATAATGGACGTCGTCACTTCCTCGACCGACCATGGTGTGCTTTTCTTTGCCATTGTTGTAGCTCCTCTGTTAACAAAAATGCTGTTTGTAAAAATGGATTATCTCGCGCGCAGATTGTGGCGATTCTCTCCGACCAATCAGCAGCCGAGAGCGTTGACGTCACAAACACAGCCCGGTTGCCTCTGGCCCTGGCCCCACGATTTTATGAGGCCAGAAAAACTGAGAATTAGGACCAGCCGGCCGGTACTAGGCCAAGTGGAAACGCAACCACAAACGGGCCGCTGACGTCACAGCCCTCTTAAACCGGGCTGCGCGCTGTAGTGGAAACGCGGCATTAGTTAGTCTGTCGACGGTAGCAAATAAGGCACGTGCGTTGTTTTTGTTTTTGGTAATGATGTCAGAGAAGAAAGACTGTCGTGCGTTTTTCAGTTCCAAATTATAAAGGCCAAGTCTCTCTTTATAGATTTCAAAATGAACCTGGAGATTTGTTTTTCGCCACCTACGTTCAGCTTTTCGACACTCTCTTTTTTCTGTTCTCACGGTCATGGCCTTTCTCCATGGAGATATTTTCTTGCCAATCACTTCCTTTACCGTAGTTGGAGCAATGGTATCTATAACATTTTTAATTTTTGAATTAAAATGATCTACTAGCTCATTTACTGAGATGTTAGCAGGGGCAAGTGTGGATGAAAAATTCAGAGTAAACCTTTCCCTAGTATTTTCAGTTAAATATCGCTTTGTGGTTACCTCTTTCTGAACATTTTTGTGAACAGAAATAGAGCTCTCAAAGAAAACACAGGAATGATCATGGAGTGCAACATCAGTCACCACAACTTTTGAGATATTCAGACCCTTTGAGATAATTAAGTCCAGAGTGTGCCCCTTATTGTGCGTGGGCTCCGCCACATGCTGAGTCAGTCCATAGTTATCAAGAACACAAAACAGTTCTTTAGCCCCTCTGTCCTGGGGGTTGTCAACATGGATGTTAAAATCACCAACAATGACTAGACGGTCAAAGTCAATACACACTATAGACAGCAGTTCAGTAAAGTCATCCAAAAAGCTTGCACAGTATTTGGGTGGTCTATAGATATTTAGGAACAGAGCTCGAGAGGAGCATTTCAGCTGAAGGGCCACATATTCAAAAGAAGCAAAGTCCCCATAAGATGTCTTCCTGCTTTGAATGGAATCATTGAACAAAATAGCAACTCCACCCCCTTTCTTATGCATTCTTTCCTGACTCATAAAACTAAAGTTGGGAGGGGTTGATTCGATAAGAACAGCTGCACTGTTATTTTGTTCAATCCAAGTTTCCGTTAAAAACATAAAATCGAGATTGTGCTCAGTGATAGAATCATTGATTAAAAATGTTTTTCCTGCCAAAGACCTGACATTTAATAAAGCTAGTTTAAGTTTGTTAAATACACTATCAGTCAGATTTTTTGTGACAAGCTGTGGCTGACATGGAATCACTGCTAAATTAGATAAACTCACACAAACGTTTGAGCACTTCCTGTTTCTAAGCTGATTTACCGCTCTTAATCTATTACCTATCAACACAGATATCGGCAAAGCTACTGGCAGGCAGGGCCCCGGCATGTGCTGGAAAGAGTTGAGAGTGCCATACGCCCTTCAGCCTGGACCCAGCACATATCAGAAATAGTTTGTTGCGTTTTGTACACACACATCCTTATCAGGCTTCGGAGACTGCAGATGCTTTCTTGAAGGGAGGGGAGGTGGTTGACGTAGGCACGGTGATGAAGACGGGGGAGATGGTGCGCGTCTCTGCTTCGGTGATTTTGGTGGGCGTTGTGGAAGGGCGGGGGTAAAGGACATGCTGCCAGGGGGGGAGGTGGTTGACGTAGGCTTGTCTTCGGTGATTTTGGTGGGCGTCGTTGAGGGGCGGGGGTAAAAGACATGCTGCCAATCCTGCATATCGCCTCAGTACTCAGATCTTGTACTTGAGTAAAAGTAGAAGTACCAGAGTGTAGGAATACTCTGTTACAGTAAAAGTACTGCATTCAAAATGTTCCTCAAGTAAAAGTAGAAAAGTATTCTCATCAAAATATAGTGAAAGTAGCGACAGTGAAAGTAGTCATTGTGCAGATTGGTCCATTTCAGAATAATATATATGATATGTTTTATAATGATTGATCATGAAAGTGTTCTCAAAGCTGGTAAAGGTGCAGCTAGTTTGAATGACTTTGTATACTGCAGGGTAGCTTGTGGATTTACTCCAGGTGGAACTAAAGTCTGATTTAACACCTGATTATATTTCACATCATTCATCCACATCTGTGAAGTAACTAAAGGTATTAAATACATGTAGTGGAGTAAAAGTACACCATGTACCTCTGAACTGTAGTGCAGTAAAAGTACACATTAACATAACATTTAAATACTCAGATAAAGTACAAGTACCTCAAAATGGTACTTGAGTAAATGTACTTAGTTACTTTACACCTCTGTATATCGCTAACTGGATGCAGATCCTCCAACAGACTCGTAGCCAACATCACAAGCAAACGTAACTTTTATCCCCTCGGGGAAAGTTTGTAAAAGTATGTCGTCCCCCTTCAGATCCATGTTGGCTCCTCCCACAGGTCTGGAGCAGTCCTGAGCTGGGGAGGGAACGTCCAGAAGTTGATGTGTAATGTAGAATCAAAACAGGACTAATGTCATATCTGCAGCGAGATTATAACCACTGACCTTGAGCTGAAAGGAAAAGGCCAACAGAGGTCAGGAGCAGGAGGAAGGAGGCCGTAAGAAGTAGAAAGTTCAGGTATTTGTGTTCAACATGTAAGAAGTAGAAAGTACAGGTATTTGTGTTCAACATGTAAGAAGTAGAAAGTACAGGTATTTGTGTTCAACATGTAAGAAGTAGAAAGTACAGGTATTTGTGTTCAACATGTAAGAAGTAGAAAGTACAGGTATTTGGGTTCAACATGTAAGAAGTAGAAAGTACAGGTATTTGTGTTCAACATGTAAGAAGTAGAAAGTACAGGTATTTGTGTTCAAAATGTAAGAAGTAGAAAGTACAGGTATTTGTGTTCAAAATGTAAGAAGTAGAAAGTACAGGTATTTGTGTTCAACATGTAAGAAGTAGAAAGTACAGGTATTTGTGTTCAAAATGTAAGAAGTAGAAAGTACAGGTATTTGTGTTCAACATGTAAGAAGTAGAAAGTACAGGTATTTGGGTTCAAAATGTAAGAAGTAGAAAGTTCAGGTATTTGGGTTCAAAGTGTAAGAAGTAGAAAGTACAGGTATTTGTGTTCAACATGTAAGAAGTAGAAAGTACAGGTATTTGTGTTCATCATGTAAGAAGTAGAAAGTACAGGTATTTGTGTTCAACATGTAAGAAGTAGAAAGTACAGGTATTTGTGTTCAACATGTAAGAAGTAGAAAGTACAGGTATTTGGGTTCAACATGTAAGAAGTAGAAAGTACAGGTATTTGTGTTCAACATGTAAAAGTACAGGTATTTGGGTTCAACATGTAAGAAGTAGAAAGTACAGGTATTTGTGTTCAACATGTAAGAAGTAGAAAGTACAGGTATTTGGGTTCAACGTGTAAGAAGTAGAAAGTACAGGTATTTGTGTTCAACATGTAAGAAGTAGAAAGTACAGGTATTTGTGTTCAAAATGTGAGAAGTAGAAAGTACAGGTATTTGTGTTCAACATGTAAGAAGTAGAAAGTACAGGTATTTGTGTTCAAAATGTAAGAAGTAGAAAGTACAGGTATTTGTGTTCAACATGTAAGAAGTAGAAAGTACAGGTATTTGTGTTCAACATGTAAGAAGTAGAAAGTACAGGTATTTGTGTTCAAAATGTGAGAAGTAGAAAGTACAGGTATTTGTGTTCAAAATGTAAGAAGTAGAAAGTACAGGTATTTGTGTTCAACATGTAAGAAGTAGAAAGTACAGGTATTTGGGTTCAAAATGTAAGAAGTAGAAAGTTCAGGTATTTGAGTTCAAAGTGTACGAAGTAGAAAGTTCAGGTATTTGGGTTCAAAGTGTACGAAGTAGAAAGTACAGGTATTTGGGTTCAACATGTAAGAAGTAGAAAGTACAGGTATTTGTGTTCAACATGTAAGAAGTAGAAAGTACAGGTATTTGTGTTCAACATGTAAGAAGTAGAAAGTACAGGTATTTGTGTTCAAAATGTGAGAAGTAGAAAGTACAGGTATTTGTGTTCAAAATGTGAGAAGTAGAAAGTACAGGTATTTGTGTTCAACATGTAAGAAGTAGAAAGTACAGGTATTTGTGTTCAACATGTAAGAAGTAGAAAGTACAGGTATTTGTGTTCAACATGTAAGAAGTAGAAAGTACAGGTATTTGTGTTCAACATGTAAGAAGTAGAAAGTACAGGTATTTGTGTTCAACAAATACCTGTTTCAACAATAATGTCATATCTGCAGCGAGATTATAACCACTGACCTTGAGCTGAAAGGAAAAGGCCAACAGAGGTCAGGAGCAGGAGGAAGGAGGCCGCCATGATTTAAGACCGTCTGGTGAAGAGAAACATTAAAACATTAAAACATGTGTTGGTTCAAATGTAAAGTAACTAATTAGATTTACTTAAGTACAAGTTTGAGGTACTTTACCTGAGTGTTTCCATGTTATGTTACTGTGTACTTCTACTCCACTACAGTTCAGAGGTACATGGTGTACTTTTCCTCCAGTACATGTATTTAATACCTTTAGTTACTTCACAGATGTGGATGAATAATGTGAAATATAATCAGGTGTTAAATCAGACTTTAGTTCCACCTGGAGTAAATCCACAAGCTACCCTGCAGTATACAAAGTCATTCAAACTAGCTGCACCTTTACCAGCTTTGAGAACACTTTCATGATCAATCATTATAAAACATATCATATATATTATTCTGAAATGGACCAATCTGCACAATGACTACTTTCACTGTCGCTACTTTCACTATATTTTGATGATAATACTTTTATACTTTGACTTGAGGAACATTTTGAATGCAGGACTTTTACTGTAACAGAGTATTCCTACACTCTGGTACTTCTACTTTTACTCAAGAACAAGACCTGAGTACTTCTACTTTTACTCAAGAACAAGATCTGAGTACTACTAATAAAGTAGTATACAATTCAAATACTCAAATACAAGTACCTCAAATGTGTACTTATGTACAGTACGATGACTAAGACACACATAAAACATCGATAAACATTCAGTTAAATTGGTTAAAATACCCAATATCACAGTTAACACTACAGAATAGGTCCCTGGGTATTCTTTGTAGGTAAAAAAATATTCTTAGTGTCCTTCATAGTCTCGGAAAACACCAAACTCCACTCAAAATATATCAGATTTAACTCATTTGCGTGCTACTACTTAAACAGCCATTAATACCGAGCAGTTCCACAACCCTATACAGCAGGGGTCAGCAACCCCTGGCACGCGTGCCACCAATGGCACGCGGCACCGTAACAAGTGGCACACTAGGAATAAGTGGAATAAGTGTACAAAATATTTATTTTATTTTCGGATCCTGAACGAGACCGCCGCCAGAGCGCGTCTCCCCGTTACCTGCAGAAGGAAGCCATGCACGCAGCGCAGCCCCGCTCTGTTTAACTCCAGGTGACTTTCTTCCGCTTTCCTCCGTGGTGCAGGGCTGATCGTTTCACCACAGAGGAAAGCACTTCACAAATTGCATTACCCATAAGGAGCTGTACAAATGCCCCAGTTTTTGCGTGGCGATCGATATCGGCCGATACTCACTCTCTGCCGATCGATCGGTGCTCTCTAAAAAGGCCGATCGCGAGGCGTATCACTCATTACTGGATCAGTGAGCTGCATGAGATACTGACAGGCTGTCAGGAGAGAGAGAGAGAGGGAGAGAGAGGAAAAGAGAGCGCTTCCGCTCATTTCTCCCGTGTTATTATTCAAAGTTAATGTAAACTTGAATAATGCACTTCATTTGAATGTAACAATTATGTTGGTTGTTTGTGGAAGCGCCAGTGAATGAGCATTAACTGAGTTTTAAACATCACTTTTCACGAGTGTTTTCGTCGAGCTCTTCAACCCCCCCCCCCCCCTTTGATAATTCACGATCATCGGCACGCTGATAAAACATTTTTTTTAGAATGGCACTTCATATCAAAAAGGTTGCCGACCCCTGCTATACAGCAACAGTTTATTATTCTAAATCCGGCACATGTTTAATAAAGAACCAAACAAAGACTCAAACACAGAAGTCACATCCTGTAAACCCACGACATCACGCTTGTTTTTACCGGATCAGAGTCAAAGAGTGAGTCAAAGAGTGTATTAAATGTGTTTCTTACCGTCTGAAGAGGAGATTTGTGTTCCGCTACTTCACTGCTGAGTCTCCTCACCCTGTGTGACTGTGCTCAGAAAGGGGCGGGGTTCAGCTGTGACGAACCTCTTCCTGAGTGTAAACACCAAGCCCTGACTGTCACTCAGAAAGGGGCGGGGCTTCAGCTGTGACGAACCTCTTCCTGAGTGTAAACACCAAGCCCTGACTGTCACTCAAATAGGGGCGCGGCTTCAGCTGTGACGCATCGTATTATTATTATTATTATTATTATGAATATTATTATTACTGCTATCTGTATGTATTTTGTATTTTTGTATTATTTTATTATTTTAATGTTTATTTTGTATTTATTTTATTGTTTTGGGTAACTCGGGGTCAAATGTTGCCCAATCAAGATTCATCTTTGACTCTAGACCAGGGGTCGGCAACCCCTGGCACGCGTGCCACCAATGGCACGTGGCGCCGTAACCAGTGGCACACTAGGAATAAGTGGAATAAGTGTACAAAATATTTATTTTATTTTCGGATCCTGAACGAGACCGCCGCCAGAGCGCGTCTCCCCGTTACCTGCAGAAGGAAGCCATGCACGCAGCGCAGCCCCACTCTCTTTAACTCCAGGCGACTTTCTGCCGCTTTCCTCCGTGGTGCAGGGCTGATCGTTTCACCACAGAGGAAAGCACTTCACAAATTGCATTACCCATAAGTAGCTGTAAAAATGCCCCAGTTTTTGCGTGGCGATCGATATCGGCCGATACTCACTCTCTGCCGATCGATCGGTGCTCTCTAAAAAGGCCGATCGCGAGGCGTAACATACATGACACTTTTCTCTGTGCGGCAAAACAAGCTCGCAAAAAAAATGGCTTCACCAGTCTGGCAGTATTTTAAGGTGTCCGAAAATGACAATAAAATAGCGGTTTGCAGCGTGTGTGAAGCAGAAATCCTGCAGCTCCACCCGCTGTGACGGACCGGTGAGCGGAGCAGAACACACAAGAGTTAGACCTAACACACTTAGCTATTTTATCTACCTTTGGAACTAGTTATACATATATTTATTCTTCACTGTCACTCATTACTGGATCAGTGAGCTGCATGAGATACTGACAGGCTGTCAGGAGAGAGAGAGGGGAAGAGAGGGAGAGGGAAAGAGAGAGAGAGAGAGGGAGAGAGAGGAAAAGAGAGCGCTTCCGCTCATTTCTCCGGTGTTATTATCCAAAGTTAATGTAAACTTGAATAATGCACTTCATTTGAATGTAACAATTATGTTGGTTGTTTGTGGAAGCGCCAGTGAATGAGCATTAACTGAGTTTGAAACATCACTTTTCACGAGTGTTTTCGTCGAGCTCTTCAACCCCCCCCCCCCTTTGATAATTCACGATCGTCGGCACGCTGATAAAACATTTTTTTTAGAATGGCACTTCATATCAAAAAGGTTGCCGACCCCTGCTATACAGCAACAGTTTATTATTCTAAATCCGGCACATGTTTAATAAAGAACCAAACAAAGACTCAAACACAGAAGTCACATCCTGTAAACCCACGACATCAGGCTTGTTTTTACCGGATCAGAGTCAAAGAGTGAGTCAAAGAGTGTATTAAATGTGTTTCTTACCGTCTGAAGAGGAGATTTGTGTTCCGCTACTTCACTGCTGAGGCGTAGGCTCCACGAGGACGAAAACGGGTTGAATCCGCATATTTCTCATGCGTATAGCCCTTTAAGCTCGACGACGCCCTAAGGGAAACGTAGAAACAGACCCCGCAAACGACAACGGGTCCAAAGGTGGATAGATCTGGGAACGGAGCGCTCTGGGGGGTCCAACGGGGCCGTGGGGTCGCCTATACGGTCATGCGTTTCATAGCCCCGCCTCTCCCCGCCTCTCCCCACCTCTGCTGCTCACCTCCGCAAAAGTACACTGCACACTGAATTCAGATTATTTATCTTTATCTCGATATGAACATAAACGCGAGTGAAGTCTAATCTGACAGGACGGAGACACGCAGCTCCTCCGGCTGTGAAGCAGCGAGAGCAAAACACACACTTCAAGTCAGATCACCACCCTTAGCTATTTTAATTACCTCTCAAACTACCTAAACTAGTTATAAATATGTTCATTTTTACTGTCGGGTTTACTTACTGGATCAGCTGCTGCATGAGGAAGCATGAAGATTTAAACTTTAACACACATTGACCGGCGAAAAACTCTGCGCGGTTCCCTCGGCCCTCACCGCGGAGAATAAACAGAAGTGCAGCCATGACAACCATTCTTCTTCGCTGCTTTTGTGGAGGAAGTTGCTGCTTTTGTGGAGGAAGTTACAGCGCCACGTACAGGTTCGGCATATGTACTGCAGCTTTTCCAGCGGTTGGATGTAAACGGAGCCGTCTCGTGGAGCTTGACACAATCCGGTGTATATTGCGTGTGGTCGGAAGGTTTTATGCGGTTGCGTTTGCGTTACTCCGATGCGTTTTGCCGTATTTGTTCTCGTGGAGCCGGGGCCTGAGTCTCCTCACCCTGTGTGACTGTGCTCAGAAAGGGGCGGGGTTCAGCTGTGACGAACCTCTTCCTGAGTGTAAACACCAAGCCCTGACTGTCACTCAGAAAGGGGCGGGGCTTCAGCTGTGACGCATCATATTATTATTATTATGAATATTATTATTACTGCTATCTGTATTTATTTTGTATTTTTGTATTATTTTATTATTTTAATGTTTATTTTGTATTTATTTTATTGTTTTGGGTAACTCTGGGTCAAATGTTGCCCAATCAAGATTCATCTTTGACTCTAGACCAGGGGTCGGCAACCCCTGGCACGCGTGCCACCAATGGCACGTGGCGCCGTAACCAGTGGCACACTAGGAATAAGTGGAATAAGTATACAAAATATTTATTTTATTTTCGGATCCTGAACGAGACCGCCGCCAGAGCGCGTCTCCCCGTTACCTGCAGAAGGAAGCCATGCACGCAGCGCAGCCCCACTCTCTTTAACTCCAGGTGACTTTCTGCCGCTTTCCTCCGTGGTGCAGGGCTGATCGTTTCACCACAGAGGAAAGCACTTCACAAATTGCATTACCCATAAGGAGCTGTAAAAATGCCCCAGTTTTTGCGTGGCGATCGATATCGGCCGATACTCACTCTCTGCCGATCGATCGGTGCTCTCTAAAAAGGCCGATCGCGAGGCGTAACATACATGACACTTTTCTCTGTGCGGCAAAACAAGCTCGCAAAAAAAATGGCTTCAGCAGTCTGGCAGTATTTTAAGGTGTCCGAAAATGACAATAAAATAGCGGTTTGCAGCGTGTGTGAAGCAGAAATCCTGCAGCTCCACCCGCTGTGACGGACCGGTGAGCGGAGCGAAACACACAAGAGTTAGACCTAACACACTTAGCTATTTTATCTACCTTTGGAACTAGTTATACATATATTTATTCTTCACTGTCACTCATTACTGGATCAGTGAGCTGCATGAGATACTGACAGGCTGTCAGGAGAGAGAGAGAGGGAGAGAGAGGAAAAGAGAGCGCTTCCGCTCATTTCTCCCGTGTTATTATCCAAAGTTAATGTAAACTTGAATAATGCACTTCATTTGAATGTAACAATTATGTTGGTTGTTTGTGGAAGCGCCAGTGAATGAGCATTAACTGAGTTTTAAACATCACTTTTCACGAGTGTTTTCGTCGAGCTCTTCAACCCCCCCCCCCCCCCTTTGATAATTCACGATCATCGGCACGCTGATAAAACATTTTTTTTAGAATGGCACTTCATATCAAAAAGGTTGCCGACCCCTGCTCTAGACACCCCTCCCCCACCCCCTTCATCCACTGTAACAATCATTTAAAACTTTTTTTGGGGAGATTGTATTCTAATATTAGCCCATTATAGTCAGATAACGTAATGATCCACTATAGGGAGTATAATGAGTGAATTGAATCACATGTTTTACTTCAATATGTGGTGTAATGTGTTTTGGGGCCATACAATAAAATTACAACAGGATTGCACGGTTATGAATGCATTATAAGTTGGTTATGATGTAGTTAAAACAATATTGGATGATAGTCATTATTTTTGAGTGTTTTGGACTGAGATAAATCATGGGTCAAAATGTAGCCGTGAACACCATGAATGGGTACAGCTTTCAAACACAACACAAGGGTTAAGAAAATCCTAATTCATCCAGACAGACTTTGACCTCTGCAGGAAATCACACGTGTTTAAGAAAGGTCACATGTTCACATCAATTCAAAGTGAAGAGAGGAAGCTTCGCCTCGTTCACAGAGGATGATGTAACGACCAAACCCTGCAGCTCAATGAGAGGAAGTGATGTATTTCCACTGAGAAATAAACTAAATATTCCCATTGCACTTTGTTTCAATCACGCCCATGAACCACACGGCCCATTTTCTCTTTTATCATATATATATAATATAATATTGGGAGGGCTAAAACCCTCTTTAATGGTCACACATGCAGAGCACACAGCACACACAGTGAAATGTGTTCTCTGCATTTAACCCATCCTAGTACCAGGAGTCTAGTACCAGGCGTCTAGTACCAGGAGTCTCGAACCAGGAGTCTAGTACCAGGCGTCTAGTACCAGGAGTCTAGAACCAGGAGTCTAGTGCCAGGAGTCTAGCACCAGGAGTCTAGAACCAGGTATCTAGCACCAGGAGTCTAGTACCAGGAGTCTAGCACCAGGAGTCTAGCACCAGGAGTCTAGCACCAGGAGTCTAGAACCAGGAGTCTAGTGCCAGGAGTCTAGCACCAGGAGTCTAGAACCAGGAGTCTAGAACCAGGAGTCTAGTACCAGGAGTCTAGCACCAGGAGTCTAGCACCAGGAGTCTAGAACCAGGAGTCTAGGACCAGGAGTCTAGCACCAGGAGTCTAGCACCAGGAATCTAGTACCAGGAGTCTAGAACCAGGAGTCTAGGACCAGGAGTCTAGCACCAGGAGTCTAGCACCAGGAGTCTAGTACCAGGAGTCTAGAACCAGGAGTCTAGGACCAGGAGTCTAGCACCAGGAGTCTAGCACCAGGAGTCTAGCACCAGGAGTCTAGGACCAGGAGTCTAGTACCAGGAGTCTAGCACCAGGAGTCTAGCACCAGGAGTCTAGGACCAGGAGTCTAGTACCAGGAGTCTAGCACCAGGAGTCTAGCACCAGGAGTCAAGAACCAGGAGTCTAGTACCAGGAGTCTAGAACCAGGAGTCTAGAACCAGGAGTCTAGTACCAGGAGTCTAGCACCAGGAGTCTAGAACCAGGAGTCTAGTACCAGGAGTCTAGCACCAGGAGTCTAGTGCCAGGAGTCTAGTACCAGGAGTCTAGCACCAGGAGTCTAGCACCAGGAGTCTAGTACCAGGAGTCTAGCACCAGGAGTCTAGTGCCAGGAGTCTAGTACCAGGAGTCTAGCACCAGGAGTCTAGCACCAGGAGTCTAGTACCAGGAGTCTAGCACCAGGAGTCTAGTACCAGGAGTCTAGAACCAGGAGTCTAGTACCAGGAGTCTAGCACCAGGAGTCTAGCACCAGGAGTCTAGCACCAGGAGTCTAGTACTAGGAGCAGTGGGCAGCTATTGTACAGCGCCCGGGGAGCAATGGGAGTGAGGGAGGAAGAGGGGTGTCCGGTGCCTTGCTCAAGGGCACCACGGCAGGGCCCAGGAGGTGAACTGGGCCCTCTGCAAGTAGCAGTCCACACTCCATACTTTAAGTCTGTTCGGGGACTTGAACCGGCGACCCTATAGCTCCCAGTCCAAGCCCCAAGTGACTGAGACACTGCCGGACAATTAATAACACTTTTATTACGTTTTTGGAATGGAAAATGGTTGTTTTAAAATTATTTTGAGATTTAAATTCCTTTTTTTTACTATGTCCAGTAAATGTATGTCTAAAAATAAACTCGAAAGCACAGTTCAGGTGTCAAATTTTGATAAAATATTAAATATATGTGCAAAAATCGTGGACTAGTGTGTGTGGCGCAGTGGACTAGTGCTTGTGACACAGTGGACTAGTGTGTGTGGCGCAGTGGACTAGTGCGTTGGTGTTTGGATCAGGGGAGCACAGGTTCAAACCCCACTGCAGTCAGCATGTCGTTGTGTCCCTGAGACACTTCACCCCAAAGTGCTCAAGCGGGGATTGTCCACAGTATTGAGTATGTTAGTCGCTTTGGATAAAAGCATCTAACAAGTAACATGTGATGTAATTTTGATGTTTATATTTCCAATTTTAACTTGTGGAACAATGCCAATTAAAAATACAAGCACAAATCACCTGAAAAGCTCAAGTTTTACTTCATATGTTCAGGTACAATATCTTCTTTAAAACTATCATAACGTTATTGTGTGTCCAGCACTGCATCATTATCAACACAGTTCCTTTATTTCCATGCAATTAAATACCTCCACACGCATTCACTGTTTGTAAAGGAGATTAGTTTCCCAATATGTGACTCAAGTATTTGCATTTCTTTATATGCTAAAGAAACTATCCTCATGTAAACATTGGCCTGAATAACTCATTCATTCTAATATTATCTTCTAGACAAGTTACTCTACTCTGGAGGGCTTTTCATGTTTATATATGACATCATCAGGAGAGGACTCTTTAAAGTAGAGACACGACATACTGATATACACCTGAACATCAGCAGGAGAGGACTCTTTAAAGTAGAGACACTACATACTGATATACACCTGAACATCATCAGGAGAGGACTCTTTAAAGTAGAGACACTACTGATATACACCTGAACATCAGCAGGAGAGGACTCTTTAAAGTAGAGACACTACATACTGATATACACCTGAACATCAGCAGGAGAGGACTCTTTAAAGTAGAGACACTACATACTGATATACACCTGAACATCAGCAGGAGAACTCTTTAAAGTACAGACACTACATACTGATATACACCTGAACATCAGCAGGAGAGGACTCTTTAAAGTAGAGACACTACATACTGATATACTCCTGAACAGAGAGGACTCTTTAAAAATGCATGGTAGTTTCATGGTGTCATTGAAGCATTAATTGTAAATGTTTTCGTATATTTCAGACGGAGAAAGACAATCCCCTTAAAGTTTAGTGAACAGAAAATAATAATAAATGTGTTTTTTATTCATTAGTTTATTAACAGTGAGGTTCCTATGAAGCTGTGGCAGACAGACACATACATGGGGGGGGGGGGGGGGGGGGGGGGGGGGGGGGGGGGGGTGTGGGGAGGGGGGGGGGGGGGGGGGAGGTGAATGATAAGAGATACATAACAATCAGGAAAAAAGATTATCTCTGATTGATTATAGGTCCCCCCCCCCTCCCTCCTCCCTCCCTCCCTCCTCCCCTCCCTCCCTCCCTCCTCCCCTCCCTCCTTCCCTTCCATCATTTTCCCATCTCTTCCTCACTCTACAACCAACATGGCGGCTAAGTCTGACGGTGCAGCAGCCGCCGCTCCTCCTCCTCCTCCTCCTCCTCCCCGCTGCTCTCTCGCGGACTGCTGCTGGACTCTCTGCGCCCTCCTGGTCTTCTTCTCGGACGGAGCCTCGGACCTGTGGCTGTGCGCGGATTACTATCTCCGGGGGGAGTACTGGTGCTTCGCCCTGACGCTGGTCTTTGTGATCGTTCCGTCGCTGGTGGTGCAGGCGCTCAGCTTCAGATGGTTCGCGTACGATTTCTGCGAGAGCAGCGACGCGGCAGCGGCAGAAGCGGTGGTGGCGGCGACGAGTGGCGGTGGAGGAGGCGGTGGAGGAGCGGCAGAGGAAAAGGGCGACGTTAGCACCAAGGACAGCGACTTCAGTGCCAAGGACAGCGACGAGGAGCGGCGGCGGGGCGGCGACCGCGGCGGAGCCACCGGGACCGGAACGGTGTTACCGGGAGCTGCCGGGACCGGAGCGGTGTTACCGGGACCGGGGACAGGGGGGGGCGCGCGAGGCTGCTGCAGGGCCTGCGCGTGGTTCCTGCAGGCCGTCATACACACCCTGCAGCTGGCACAGGTCTGGAGGTAAGAGAGAGCAGCAGCAGGAGTATGTAGAGGAAAGGGGAGATGAAACAGTGTGTGTGTGTGTGTGTATGTGTGTGTGTGTGTGTGTGTGTGTGTGTGTGTGTGTGTGTGTGTGTGTGTGTGTGTGTGTGTGTGTGTGTGATCATTATCTCCTCTAAACACCAGCATGTATTTTTGTATTGCTGGATGTTTCTCTCCAGATTAGAAAGGGAGATTTCTTTTTGACTCCACCCATTATACCCCTCCCCCCCTCCCCCCCTGATGTGCTTTTAGGTCAATCATCTCTCAGGAAATTCATCAACTCATCCAAACACTCCTCTTATAGCAACAGAACAACATGTGTGTGTTTCAGCAGCAGATCTCCTTCTTCTTATTTACAGAGTTTCCTAGCTTGAGGTGTTTTTGCAAAATCCATATTCTCAGATCTCCCTGCAGTTTGTGTTTATATTAGAGTGTGTGAGGCTGCACACACACACTCACACACACACACACACACACACACACACACACACACACACACACACACACACACACACACACACACACACACACACACACACACACACACACACCTCACACACACACTCTCACACACACACACACAACACTCACACACACACACTCACCACACACACACACACACACACACACACACACACACACACACTCACACACACACACACACACACACACACACCACACACACACCACACACACCACCCTACCTGAGCGCTTGGTGGCCATGGGGGTGACGCTGGTCCAGTGTCCGGTGTGCGGGTCGTACCGCTCCACCGAGTTCAGGATGTTCAGACCGTCGTACCCTCCTGACAGGAAACAGAGGATCAAACTGTTAGAGAACTCTCCCTGGTCCCCGGCTTGAGCTTCAATCTCAGGATCCATGTATCTGTGATCCTCTCCAGAATGGAAGGAGTCATCACATACAGAGCATCAACTAGTTCCTGAACAGTGTCCTTCACATGCTGATATCCAAGAGAGGGAGTTACACAGTCACAAGATGGAGGAATAGAAAGCAGTATTCAATGTTTACTTCAGATTAGCTCCACGTCAGAAATGAGCATGCTTGTCATATGTCTATCTCCATAGAGGCTGAATCATCATGTTAATCACATAGCTATCATATGCCTCAAACAGTCCTGATGCTCTTCTAGGTAATCATACATCCTGTCATGTTCACAGCTACAGTTGGGATACCTTTGTTAGCATGTTGCTCTCATGTTGGAGGAGGACGTTCAGGATTCTAACACAAACAATCAGAATCCTTTTAATAATTATAATAATAATAATAATTGCTATTTATTGCATTTTCACTTTATTATTTGCCCTTTTTGTTTGTTTGTTCTGTTGTATTGGTGTTTAGGTCACCTGCTGGATGACGTAGAGGAGAGGGTGCTCAGATACTTTCTGTTGACCGTGTGTCCGGACTTGAATATTGTTTGTTCTGTTTGGTTTTTTTACATTTTATTTTAACTGTATTTTCATTTTTCTTAAACAACACATACAGAAAAAAACAAAAAAAAACATTTGATAGACAAACAAATGGTTGAAATCACAGCGCAAAAAAACTAAAACAAAATAACAACCAAGCTTCGACGGAAGCGGCAGCCAATCAAATCGTATGCCAGAACAAGCTCTAGCCAATCAACCGCGTGCTTGTGTGTCCGGGGCGGGAGATTAATGTGATTGGTTGTTGGTCGCACGCCAGACAAACGCCCACCGGCAAGCTTCAACGCACGCTGCCGTGTGGACGCACCGTTAGGGAAGAGTACCGTTTGCAAACTTTCCATGTACGTTAAAAATGATTAGTTTTGTTTCTTTTCTAAACAGCATGAACTCTATCAGGACTACGGCCTCTTGTATGGAGCGCGTCACAGAGAACGTTTGAGCCTCTCAGCGGCAGAACTCAAAGGGAGCTTTGCCGCTATAATTATTATTATTATATAAATAAAATGTATAATGAAAGCTCTGTACCGAGGCAGTAGATGAGTC